TAAAAAAATAATTTTTGCCCAAAGTATTTGGGCAATTTCGGCTACTAATAGAAGCAGTTTCGACCAGAAACCTTATATTCAATCAGAACTTTGGTGATTTGTTTCAGCCAACATTAGAGTCCAAAGATGATTAGTAATATGAAGCATCAATGTAGTTCATTTGGAATCCAATGAGTTAGTTGAATTATAGGATGATGCTTATGTCCTGGATATGCTTGATAATTGAATCTAATTATTATATTCTTTCTCTAATTTACTATGATCAGATTTTGAACACAGATACCATGGACAGAAATGAGTATTTCTAATGGATTTCCAGTCGTGGGACATTGTAGATCAAACATCACTTAATATAAATGTATTTACTGACTGGTAAGTCCTAGTTATAGGTTAGTTGATCAAAAACATCATGTTGATTATGATGTCATGAAGTGACGACATAATTAACAGGATACTTTTTGATCAACTAACCTATAATGCTATTATCATGAAACCGAATTATGATTTTGATTGTGTAACTTTTTAATTTTTTTATTATTACTACAACCTTTCTTCTAATTCTCTAATTCAAAAACTAAAAACAAAATTTGTGAATATTACTCACCTTTGTTCATTACCAATCAAGAAATAATTGTTAAAATAAAATAAATAAATATCTTTACAATACATTATTAAAACCAAGATTCTATTATTGCTATAAAGATGGACAAAACCAAAGCATGTTTCATATTATATATATATATATATTGATTTGTTTATCTTGAATCTATTATTTAACTATTACCATCTTTAATTATTTTTTCTTTATTTATAAGTGATGAATTAATTTTTAGTTAATAAGGCTAAAAGAAAAGCTATTATTAATTCTATTATTAATTGGATAAATCAGTTTGAAAAATTTAGATCAGACTGTGGTTATATAGGAAAAATTGATGATATAACTGATTTCAAGGAGTTTGAAGAACAATTGATAAATTATGTTACTAAAATGAAAAAAAATGATGGAACTGATTATATTTCTACTTCAGTTAATGCTTGTTTGGCAGCTATCAATAGGCACATTGTTGAGAAAAGTTTATTCAATAATCTTAATCTTTATCATAACAATAGACATACATATAAAAGATTATGGCAAATTGTTGATGGCAAACTTTGATACCTCGATGAATTTGGACTTGGTGAAAAAAAAGGTGCTGATTCATTAACTGACAAAGAGATCAATGTAATATTGTCACATTTATGTACATCACCAACAAATGTATATGGCTTAATCAACAGTTTTTTTTCGAAACTGCATTTTACTAGGTTTAAGAGTAAGTGAGCATTATAATTTACAAAGAAATCACTTCAAAAAAAGATCTGATGGAGGTTAT